GCCCGAAACTGGCTCTCAGCCCAGGAACAACAGTGCCCTCTGGGAATTTCCCACGCAGCCTCTCAGAATCTGGCTTTCAACCCTGATGGTGTTTTGAAGCAAGTTTAAAATGTGGGTAAAGTGTGATTGTTCTCCTGCTCCAGTGCCAGGGAGTGGGCAGGAAAATGGGAGCAAATGAGACCCGCAGAAGTTACAGTGTTCAAAATCAAGGGCATAGCCCTGGCCAGGGGCCAGAGGGAACTGGGGAATGATCGACGCAGGAAGAGCCAGCAGTGAAGTCCAAGGCGGGCCCTCAGCGGCTCTTGTAAAAGCATTTGATGACACTTGACCCCGAGGGCCCCCAAGGCTGCGGTCAGGCCAGCAAGTTTGCTCCTAACCACCCTCTGGCCCCCAGAAAGACAAAGACAGAACCGAGTCTTGTCTTAGGGTCCTTCTCCACCCCCATGGCCTCCCTTCACACCATCCGAATACAGTGGCAGGGAGACAGGAGGGGACACAAGCACACACCTGAGTCGGAAAGCAAACCCCAAGTCACACGACTGCATGGAATAAAAGGCCCACTGCTAACATCGAAAGCAAAAACCTAAACCAACTCGAACTGAATTCTCCAAGCTGCCACAGGGCGAGGGCCACGGCTTCCAGTACACTCCCCTCTCACACTAACTTGGTCCAAGTGGCCCTAACGTCGGGCCCTCTCAGGGATACAAAGGAGTGAGCAAAAAGAAAACTCAGAAAAAGCAACAGAAGCATAAACTGTCTTTCTGTTTGAGAGAAGTACCCCAAATATCTTCAGCCCAGGGCCTCCGACCCACAAGGAACGATATCCTCATGGCCCCTCCGGGAAAAACGGCACAGTCCAGTAACATCTGCCACGGAAAAGTATGTGTCCATCCAAACGAGAAGACTAAACAACAACTCTGTGTTCCAGCGCCCCTTATAGGAATGAGAAGTTGTTAGAAGCTTAGAAATCCTCCCACAGGAGGCAGGCTGAGTCAGGTCCACTTACGCAGGAAGTGTATCCTCATCATACTCCACAGTGGGATGCATGCATAAGGCAGGACAGTGGGATATGTAACGCATTCGCTGGGTGCATCTTCGAGCCAGGCTGTGGGGTTTAAATGCAGGCTTGTCACTTCGCAGCAGTATACCCTTCAGCAGGTCGCCTGAGCGTTGTAAGCCTCTGTTTCGTCAGCCCTAAAGTGGAAGCAGTCCTGCCTCACAGGACTGTCGGGGGCACTGAGCAGGTCGATGCACACTAAAGACACAATGGTGCCTGGCGCATAGCATAGCAATGACTCTACAACTATGAGCTTTCAAAGCCCAGGGCCCTGGGAGTCCACAGATGCAGAGTGACACCGAGCTGCACCCACATTACCGTAGCAGACTTCTGAACGCGTTGGATTTTAAAAGTCAGGCTGTGTGTGGTGCTCCGGCGCGTGTAACCTTGTATATCCGTGTGTCTAAGGGAAGAGATGCGTTCTCCACAGGTACCTGTGTGTGGAAACACAGGTGGAGCAGCGCCTGGGAGAAGGGGCTGGAACTGGAGGTGGCGATGCAGAGGACTGGGGATAGGACAGAAAGGGAGAGGCAGGTGGGTGCATGAAGGGATGATGGTGGACTGGCATATTCGTTCACGGACACACAGGCATTCACACAAAACTTGTAATTTAAAAGTGTGGCTGAAAAGGGTCCATGAGGGTGTGGCTTATGAGTCCCCTTTCCTACCTGGGGAAACCAAAGCACACAGATGTTCCCTGAACACCAGGCACTAGCCGCCCAGCAGCCCCCAGGAAGGGTCCAAGCCAGTGCTGCCCGCCCCACATAGTCTCCGGACTCCCTGGAGCTGGCCACAGCAAAGGCACGAGAAGGGCCTCCTGGTTCACACTGGTGGGGTTGGCGAATCAGCTGCTGTTTTGTTTTTAATGAATGACCCTAGTGGAATGTGCGTCCAGTATCACGCTGACACTTCCCGTTGTCCCTGCAAAACAAAGCGGACTCCCCACCCAGGCCACCTCGTGGTCGCCGTACCCCGCAGGGATTGTGAAAGGGGCACAGAGCTGTCAGGGTGCCCAGCTCCCAGGGCCTCCCTGACTCCCTTCACCCCACACAGACCGGGCGCTAGCCTGCCCCACAGCCCCAGATTCACCCCACTACAGGGAGTGTTGCCACTTCTCCTGGCTCATGAGACAAACCGGGTCACTGTTTCACCTTGGCTGGGTGGTGTGGGGGCCTCTTGCAGGTTTAACAGCCCAAGAATAACTACAGCATTCTACTTGCTCCTTTTTAATGATAAAATATAACACTAATAATAACAATAATAATTTCTTCTTCCCAAAAGATGTTGCCTCATTAAAACCTTTTGGCTATCTTCAAATTTTTGAGAAAAACTCCCCAAACCCAGAAGTAAAGCAGTACCTGTTCCACCTCACTCCTAGGAACCTGCTTTAGATGATCAAGGTCAGTGAGAGGTGGAAGTTTCTGAGCCACAGCATAAGGAAGACTGGGCGTCGGCCCCACCACTTAGTAGCTGGGTGGCCTTTGGCACACACATCCTTTCTCCACCTCAGCAGTTTCCACCTGAGAAATGGGCGCGGCAGGCAGAGGGAGAGAGCGCCGATGAGCAGCTGTCCCCCTTTCCTCCAGCTCAGCCGAGGCCCCAGCTCTCCAGGGTGCCTGTGACCCCACGCCCACTGTGTGGGCCGGCTCCTCTCCCACCTGAGCCTTCTCTTCCCTCTGCCCACCAAGCCTGGGGCTGGGTCACAACTGTGAAAGAGTGAGAGACGGGGTCTGGTTTCCTTGAAAATAGCTTCTTCACTAAGCCCACAAGCCCAGATCCGATACTGAAGGAATCCGCTGGCAACAGCGCCTGTCAGAAGAGCTCAAGATACCCAGGGTTGATCTCCAGGGCTGCCACAGACAGGCCCCACAGCCCCTGCCCCTGGGGCTGCTCCTGTAGCCAGATTCTTCTCTACTGGCCCCATCTCTGCGAAACCACACACACATGTACACACACACACAGACACACACAACTTTCAGAAAGCTCTTGGCACTGCCCACCATGCCCCGGCTGGGTGCTGCCAGGACAGGCTCTGCCCCGCCAAGGCGCCTCCTGCATTCCCAGCCCCCGCCGGCTGCCCTAGTCGGGCTTTGTCGGGGGTCCAGGGAGGGGACGCAGACGTCCTGGCTGCTGCCAAGCCCCTGTCTCTGCCCCAGTGTGCGTTTGATACGCCGGCATGTAGTTTATTCTTCTCCCAAACACTTCAAGGGGTGCAGGGCTGGAGTTGCCATGGAAACCCCTTTAACTCCTCCTGCCCTGGGAGGCTGTGCCTGGGGCTCCAGGAAGACCAGAAAAGGAGACACCTATGGGTGAGGAGCTTCAGAGGGGCCAGGGCAGGCCCACAAGCCTTTCACTGGCAGCAGCGTGTTGCTGGGAGGAGGGACCGCCAGGAAGTCTGGAAGAGGAAGGTGGTACAAAGCACCCTCAGTGGGCTCGGCACTGGGCAGCAGGGCTGTGGGGGCAAGGGCACCTCCTGGGCACACTGCCCGAACTGACAGACTTCACCAGCCCAGAGACCAGAGGCTGTGAGTGGGGCCGTCAGGAGCCACCTACTGGCCAGCAGGATGCTCGGGCAGCAGCAGGAGGTCAGCAAGCCCAAGCCCATACCCGCACCTCCCATTTTTAAAAGCATGAGCTCATCAGGCCTCCAGTGTGTGCACCAAGCCCAGGCCAGCAAGTTTGGACCTGTGCCACATCAGAGTGCTCCCTCCCCAGCTTATCTTTTCTTCCACATCGTCCTGGGTCTGTGGGACTTCTCAGTCGCTGAGCTTTTCTCCAAGAACTTAATGAAGAGGGAAGGAAGAGCTCAGTCTTGAATACACACAGGGAAATGACAAGTGACCGCAGCACCAGCCCAGCACAGGTACAACAAGTACCAAAAGTGGGAAGTGAACAGGTAGTGAGTGCCGGAGCCTGGGGAAGCAGAGTCTGCAGGCTGCTGTCCCCACTGTTCCCCCAAACATCCAAGCTGGAGCCCCCAAAACAAGAGCAGGTCAGGGAGGCCCCCATTCCCAGCTGCGCACACCCAGCGCATGCTGGAGCACAGCAGGCTGCGGCTCCAAGTCCGCCTGCTGCCTGTGGCCTGCAGCCCCTCATGGAGCAGAACCAGAACTGAGCAGCGCCCATCACAACTGTGGTGGCAGCTCAAGCCAGGCGAGGTGGATGGAGGCCCAGGGAGGGCAGGAGAAAACCCTGCAGATTCTTCCACCACCCAAAGGACCCTAGCAGGCACTGGCACTGCCTGCCCAGAGCCCCAGTCCCCACAAGGGGAAGGGTGTGGCTGCAGTGACCCAGTCGCCACAGCCACCCCAGGGCCACATCGCCCTGGGTCACGCACATTCTCAGTCCCGCACAGAGGCCATGGAAAATTTCCTTCCCCTTCAGGACTTCGGTCAGACACATGTTCCTTTCTTCGCCTCCAAATGCACAGAGGCGTAGTGGTCGAGCCGTGCCCCAGCCACTGCCCTGTGCACAGGGCAGGGACACAGGACAGCACTCCACACACAGCAGACACGGGACAACATGCCCCACAGAACAGGGACACAGGGCGCGTGCTAAACCAGGCCAGGAGGGCGGCGATGCCCAGTAACCCACAGCTCAGCCCTCCAAACGCAAGTGTTGCCCACACTCCAGGACGTGACAGCTTGGACATCCCTCTCTTGTGAGGACACAAAGTCCAGCTGGGGACTGTCACCACGGTGTGACCCTTGACACCTCTGTTCTTAAGGGGACAGATCTATTTCCACCGCTCACCCTCCACACATCATGCCCCGAGTCAGCGTCGCAGCCCTGGGCCAGCGTCCTTTTCCTTTGAGCGGTGCTGTGCTGCAGGGCGGGAGCAGGACGGCCACCCACAGGGTCACCCACATCTCCCAGACCCTCAGGACCCAAGTTCAGCGTACTGCGGTGGACAGGGAGGCGGGACGTGGGGTCAGTCACTCACCGATGTCAGAGTTGCAGAAGGCGTCCTGGGGGTGGCTGGGCGAGCACGTGCACGCCTCAGCGCCCCAGGGCCCCAGGCTCCAGCTGCCCAGCAGTACGACCAGCCCGAGCCAGGGAGCCAT